CCACAAAGGCTACGGGTCCTAGCATACAACCCTCCAACTCATGCAAAAGTCCTGTATATGTTAGGAACTCGAGCCAGGGCTGGAAACTGTGCTCAGCAGTGGGTCTCCTTAAACAGAAACCAGTGAACTGCTAATATTGACTGGGCAGAACCATTTTCAGCACTGTTACTGAACGTATGATTGAGACTCAACAGCAAAGGGGCAATTTCCTAGTGTAGACATGACTTCAGTGGCCGAGGCCCAGGCCACAAATCCCAAAGTCCTAGTGTGCGATTCTCCTCCTTGATTCAAGGAGCAGGGGTGAGGCTCACACGGACTTCAGGTTTATCTTGATCTGTGTGGATGGCACCTGGATCAAGATGAAGTATTTTGGGCTGGAAGATGGAGCCAACCCAAGGCTACCTAGATGGAGCATTGCATGCTGGCACCTTTAACCTTCATGGGCTGCACCCAGGGCTGGCCTTCATGGGAGGGTTAGGATGCCAAATCAACAACTAGGGAGGGGGCCACATGGTGCAGCTGACCAGCCGGTTGGTTTATTTGACCCGTCTCTCTGGCAATTTTTTTTTTTTTTTGCTCAGCTGCTCAAGGCAGCAAACCATGTAGGGGTGGCCCTGACCGCAACTATATAAAGGCTGAAAGGAAGTATGCCTGGACTGCAGTCCATGTGGCCTCCCAGAAGAGGGCTCTTAAGGGTGCTCTTAAGGTCATGACCCCTTCCCATCTTCCTCCACATTCATCTGAGCCTCTTGTCCTCATCTAAAGCCCCTGTTTTTAGGCAGAATAGCCAGGATCCCTTCTTATAGTCTTACTTGGGGGAGGGGGAGACAGGCCAGACAGCAGACATGGCAGAGCTGCCCACGTTGGATAACTGCCTCTCAGCTGAGCAGTCTCCCACCCCAGTTTGTTTTTTCGGGGGTGGGGATGTGAATAAAGAACAGATTATGCATATTAATTATTTTTAAACCAGGAAAACAATTCATTCCCAGCTCGAGGCGAATCCAGCCCAGGGCTGCTTCTCAGAGGCCTATGGAACCTCTGCCCTCATCCTCCATTCAGTGCCACTCTCAGGTGGTTGCAATGATGGGAACACTGAGCTTTTGGGTGTCAGCCGTGAGGAATCCCCGGGAAGCCCAAGTCTCAAGCCAAAAACCTTAGAGGAACAGGTTGGCAGTGAGGACACCCCCATAGACAACACCTGCCTTGGTGTCTGAACCCCCTGCAGGCTGGCTGAGCACATGGGCACCAGACCAGTGTCATGCTAACACCTGCCTCCTCCTCACCGTCTCCCGGAGAGTCCTGGAACCAGCTATCCAGGCGTGCAGAGTCACCTGGCAGGGACAGGGAAGGGGAGATGCTCCGTGGAGGAGAACAGGGGGGGCAGCACCTTTGCTCACAGCCTCCTTGTTGCCTCCCAAGGGCAGGGGTCCTGGGCTATCCCCCTGGGGCAAGAAATGTCTCAGGTGCGGGTGGCCCCAAGGAAGATGGGGATGCCCCCTGGGGGGATGAGATGGATCCCCCAGGCAGGGGTTGCACGTGATCAGCCTAGGGGCACGGTGCGGGGTGAGGATGCTCCCCCCAGGCAGGGGTCCCACGTGATCACCCTAGGGGCAAGGTGTGGGGTGAGGATGCTCCCCCCAGGCAGGGGTCCCACGTGATCACCCTAGGGGCAAGGTGTGGGGATGCTCCCCCCAGGCAGGGGTCCCACGTGATCACCCTAGGGGCAAGGTGTGGGGTGAGGATGCTCCCCCCAGGCAGGGGTCCCACGTGATCACCCTAGGGGCAAGGTGTGGGGATGCTCCCCCCAGGCAGGGGTCCCACGTGATCACCCTAGCGGCAAGGTGTGGGGTGAGGGTGGCCCCCCCAGGCAGGGGTCCCACGTGATCGCCCTGGGGGCCGGCCGGGCTGCTCCCCGCACTGTGCACAGGGCCCGGTCTGGAGAGGGCGGCACCCCGGGGAGGCGGGGGGGGCGCACCCCAGCCCCCAGAGCGCAGCGCAGCCGGCTTAGGCAGTAGACAGGAGTAAATGGTCCGCGGCCCCTTTAAGGCAGGCGGCGGCCGGAAGTACTGGCGACTGAGGGCTGTCGCGAGCGCGCCTGCTGCGCATGCTCATTCCTCCCCTCCCCCCAGCCCCTGACTCGGCCGTTCGGAGACGGTAAGGGACGGAGGGCGCCGCGCTACGGGAGCCGGGAGGGGCCAGGCCCGGACGCGGAGTGCGGGGGGGGTCCGGCCGCAGTGGGAGGGGGAGCCCCAGAGCGCGCCGCCGCCGTACGTGCCGCCGCCGGGAGAGGGACGTCGCGCCGCCGCGGGGGGGGGAAGGGGGGCTGAGTGGCTGCGTCCGCTCGGCGCCCGCCCGCCTGCCTGGAGCGAGGGGCGGGAGGAGGGGAGGCCACACCCCTTCCCCAGGGGAGCCCCGCCCCTGGCCCCGCGGCGGGGGCGCTGGGGCCCCGACCATCCTTGGGGGGGAGGCTTTGGGCCCTCCGACCCCCCCCCGGGGGTATCCTAGGTAAAGGGGGCCGGTGACCTCTGACCCTTTCTGACCTTTCGGGGGCTGCCCGCCTCTGACCCTTTCTGACCTTTCGGGGCGGGGAGTGGAGCTGGTGGCCTCTGGCACGTGCCCGCCCCACTCGGTTGTCCAAGGCCACAGGTGGCATCTGGGGGAGTTTGTGCTGCCTGAGCCCTGCGCTGCTAGCCGGGGGGAGGGGGTGGGGTGGGGGTGCAGGCCTGAAAAAGCTCCTGCCCCCTTCTCCTCTTTCACTACACAAGGTGAAGAGGGGATCTGGGCTGGCCCTCCAATACCTTCTGCTCCTTCCCAGCCAGCGCGCCATAGGCTGACCCCTTCCCCCACCTGCGCGCACGCTGACTAGAGTCAGTGCAGCTTGGGCCCGTTGGGCACCTGACTCTGAAGGTGGCACCTCACTTCCTCCAGTCCCTGTGGGATGATGGGGACACAGGGCTGAAGGGAGGGTCTCATGCTCTCTGAGTTCCTGACGGCCAGTGGGTAAGGGGTTGTTAGGGTGGAGGCTTGCCCCATCTGATCTCAGTGTGAAGGTTTTTGGGGACAGCCAGGTGCCTGTTGTCTACTGGCCATGCAGGTGTGAAGGGGGCTGGGCATCCTCGGACCATCTGTGTGTTAGATTATTGAGGCCTTGCGGGAGGTGGGGGGGCTGGGCCTTTTGAATCCCTAGTGGTTACACCAGACTGGAGAGTGAAAGGTATGTGTATAGTGGGTGCATGTAGCTCTCTGTTCGGCCCAGACATGGGTGTTACCCTTATGACCCTGACTACAGATGGATGAGTGGTGTTTGGCTGGGTGGGTTGAGTCCTGTGTTGTCCTGTTGCTGAAAAGGTGACTGGTCTCGTGGTCTGGGACTCTGACTGGGGATAAAAAGTGTGAATATGTCCTCCCTACCCAGGACAGGTGAAGGATCTAGCACCATGTTATCCTAACAGCCAAAGAATGAAAATAATGTGGGGTCTCACCCTCCAAAGCCTGACTACCAAAAGGTGAATATTTTAGGGTTTGTGCACCTCCATATGGAGGGGTGAAGGATGAGACATTTCTAATCCCGTGACCTTGGCTGCAGTGGGATGTATGAACACTTAATGAGGGAATGTTATGCTGAGTTTCATAAATCCAACCCTAGACGCCAGTAAACATTGGACCCAAGAATATACAGCCTCTGATGTGTAGTAAGTGAACTACAGAGAATTGTATTGTTCCCATGGGACCAAATCTGCCTGTATGTCAGGCACACAAGTTGCGGGAGAATAAATATCAGGTATAGGACTCTGCCATTCCTAGGGCATTTACAGTGCTGAATGGGGACTGCAGTTGCAGTTCAATTGTATGTATGCCAGGTCCAGAAGCAACTGAACTCAGCCCTCTGAGGAGACTTCACTGCAGATTTGTCTTGCCTGAGCCCAAGTGATTCATCTTCCTGGTAACATCTGACACTAGGTGCTTTGATATGCTATGAAGCTCCCAGAGTGCCCTCTTACAGAGACTGTAGATCGGATTCCCCCTAGACACAGACAAGACCCACCTAAGCCAAAGAAATATTGAAAACAAAGGAGAACTGATTTGATAGCTGGATCCTGCCATGTTCTCCTTGATCAATTCTCAGTCGTGCATCCCATGCAGCCACAACCTTACTGGGCCACTTGTCCATTGGCCACATCATGTTTCTATTCCTTGCTTCCTTCTGGGTCGCTTCTCTGCCATGTTTATAGCCATGTTCTGATTGGTCCCAAAACACACTGCAAATCTGAAACAGGATAACTAGTCTTTCTTTCTGAAGCAGGGATGTGTGCTTTTTTTTTTTATGTCGGCCGCATAAGCAAATGCTTTCTTGGTAAGTTGTGCCTTACATTTGGACCTAAACAGAGTCAGGCTTAGATTCAGCCTGATCTCATCTGGCAAGGAATGCCACAGCTGGAGGTCTGCCAATGAGAGAACACTGCCTCCAGCAACTCAATAATGTAAACCTGGGTCTCTCTGTGAAGAGGGACAATCAATATGTACACATACATGGAGGCTATTCCATATGGCAGGAGGTGCAGAGGAGAAGGCTCTCACATCAAGGATGGTGAGACTGGGGAAGAGCAGAGAGGAGGCCAGCTAGACAAGATGAGGTAGAGAAATAGACATGGTTTCTGAGACAGACTGGTGCAAATCTGTTGCGGATTTTAAATCCAAGGAGAACAATCTTGAACTGGAGCCTGAATTACTTCAAACAAATTACATAATGTGTTATCCTCTCTCCATGCTTTTTAGGCAAGGATAATAATAATAAAAAAAAGCAATTAACTCCTCCAGTAATAAAATTGCATGTATATTTTTCCATGTGAGCTCTAGAGAGTATTCCAGCAAAGCACAACAAATACTCAAGGTGCTTTCAGTAAAACACTCTGAAGATCTTTCAGAGTAACAGCCGTGTTAGTCTGATTATCGTACAGGAGAGTGGGTTTGTGGGGGGGTGGGAAGAAATCCTGGATTTGTGCTGGAAATGGCCCAACTCGATTATCATACACATTGTAAGGAGAGTGATCACTTTAGATAAGCTATTACCAGCAGGAGAGTGGGGTGGGGGGAGAGAAAACCTTTTGTAGTGGTAAACACCCATTTTTTCATGGTTTGTATGTATAAGAACATCTTCTGTATTTTCCACAGTATGCATCCGATGAAGTGAGCTGTAGCTCACAAAAGCTTATGCTCAAATAAATGGGTTAGTCTCTAAGGTGCCACAAGTCCTCCTTTTCTTTCTGAAGATCTTTACTCCCATCCCTCCTCAACTCATCTTTGACACTAGGATCACAGTCTTACATTTATGCTTGCATGCAGTGGGGAAGGATCTCGCCTGTGCATTTTTCTGGTAATAAAAGATTATGGTATCAGGTTGCCTGCTAGGAATCTTGCAACTAAGGAAAGGAGGAAATTAGCCCCATCTTAGAAACCTGTCTCCCAGCGCGCTCATGTCTGCTGCCAAGACCAAGCATGTGGGTTAGTGCTGACCTGGCTGGCACTGATTTTGCAATGTTTGGTTCTTAAACTACACTGTACAGGTAATTCCACTCTGCATTCTGTCTGCTGTTAAAATGTTTGTGAATATGGTACTGTGGGGTTCCTTGTTTTTTGTGTCTTATTGATACCAGATCTAAATGGTCTCAACTGCCTGCTTTGCAAGCTGAGAGGTGTGCTCTCTGGCTTATACATGCCCATCGTCCGAAGCCCAATATCCCCTTCTCTTTCACGGCAGCTGTTGCACTTCAGTTTGCTTCTGCAGCATGGAGTTTTATCAACAACTAGTGCTCCCCTTCACCTGCTCGGAGATTGAGAATCATTCTTCTGTAAGCGTCTCAGCTCCCACCAGTCCAATATCATTTTGTTAACTGTGGCAGGACTGCTGGCGACAGTTGCTCTTCCATTTTGACACCATAGAGCATTCTTGTTCTTCCCATGAGACCAGGGTAAATAGCTGGCTCTGCTTGTCCGCTACAGCACACTTGCCACCCAGCCCTTTGACTGCATGTGAGAGATGGCAAATGCCGAAGTGAGTGTCCCTGTGGGGGATGTGGTGGTTGTACCAAGTGAAGGAAATGAAGGGGAGAACCCGGAAGATACCAAAACCCAAGTGATATTACAGCTACAGCCAGTGCAGCAAGGGTGAGTGATCCATGTCACTTTGCATAGTCTAAAATATTGACACGCATGTGAGTGCACAGGTGTGGGAAGTGGGTATGTTTGCAATGTGGCTAATCTCATGTATGTGATCCAAGGCATGTCAATTTTCAGCATGCTCTTTAAGGGGTACTTCTGAAAGGGTTATACTTTGATTGATTCTGTTCTGCAAGCCTTAGAGGAAAAGAGAAACTATAACTGATTAAAATGTTAACTTCTAACAATGACCTAAAGTAGTTCACGTACATAATAAGGTAGTGACTTTAAGGTTTAACATCTTGGGAATTCCCAAGCTAGAAGCAAGCCCTGGGTGTCTCAGAGGGAAGCTGAGAATCCCTCCCCTTTGCAATGATTAGGAACATAGGAATTGCCACACTAGATCAGATTTGTGGTCAGATCTAGTCCAGTATCCTGTGTGACACTGGTAGTACCAAGTATTTCAGCAGAAGGTGCAAGAAATCTCCATAATGAACAATTACCGAATAACCTGTCCATAGGGGAAGCCTTTTCCTAAACCCAAGCAGAGATTGGTTTATGCCATAAATCTATATCCCTTATTTTGTAATCCTATGCTCTGTAATTGGATTTTCTCAATATCCATAACTAGGTGTCTGATCCTTCTTTGAATCCTGCTAAGATCTCAGATTGAATGTCTTGTAGCCATAAATTCCACAGATTAATTATATGTTGTGTTTTAAAATAAAAAGTTATAATACTTCTGCTTCTAGCCCTATTGGGTCATGAGATGTTCGACCTTAAACTTGTCATTGTTTGAGGACTAAATACTGCTCCCTCTATCTTAGTTTGTTCTATTTGGGGTCACATACTGGGCCCGCCACTATGGTATCTGAGCTTTGGGCCAGTGTAATTATAGGACAGGGGAATTCCACGTTTCCTAGTAATTTGTTGTTTTTTTTTAATGGCTGCTCAGGGATATGAATGTTAAAACAACGCTTGGGGAGATAGATTAATGAGCTGCATGCAGGTGAGCCAGGCAACGGGGCATGATAAATGCAGGATCACATGGAAACTACCACCTATGTGATAATGTAATTATATCGACATACACAAACATCTGTGCCTGCTTTGGCATCCCCTACTGTGAAATATAATAAAGCCAAGGTGCTAAATGTTGGCAGCTACAATAGATGGTAGTGTATTATGGTACCCTACATTGGCAGTCTCTTCCTAGGGACAGATGACTTCCACCAGTTACGTGCCTTTTAATCAATAAATATATTGCAAAAAACATTTGTACAACATGAACTGGGATTTTACATGCATAAAAATCATAACATTAAAAGTACAGATTTATACAACAAGTAACTCTGTCCCTTTGCCTGTAGGCATGACAACTGAATCTTTCAGTCTGTGATCACAAGGAGGATATACAGTGATGCAAAATGCCACATGTATATCTGAGGTTGTAGGCAAAGGTGCAGTATAAACGTAAAGCAGAGAATTAACAGTCTTACTGGTGGAGCAGTGCAGGGGTGGGGAGCGTAGCATTGGTAACAGCTATGCATGTTTCAATCCCTGGTGACTATTACTCATTTTTTATACCTGAACCCCCTCACCCCAAAAAAGTTTGTAAAACAAGATTTTGTCCCTAAGGGACAAGTAAGCAAAAAATGAAATGAGGTTTTTAACCCTGTGCTATGAATCTTAATTTTTCCGTGATTTATATAGTTTGTTTATCGATGGACACTTTTACAACAGGATTTACGAAGAGGGCTCTGAGACCAGTGCCGCTGTGGTGGCTGTAGAAACACATACCATACACAAACTAGAAGAAGGGATTGGTAAGTTTCTCTTTGGTGTGGGCATAAACATGTCTCCTGCAGAATTACTTGCAGTTTGGTTTGCACCTTTAATACACTAGGGTTCTCTCACCACTGGGATCAGCAGTTGGGGATGTTGTTTTCCCCAGGAGGTAGAGTGCATTGTCTTGGGGTGTTCCCACCTGGATCACCAGTGCTATAGTTGCCATTAGGACTCTTGATACTGGGGGTGAAATCCTGGCTCCAGTGAAGTCAATGGCAAAACTTGCATTGGTTTCAGTGGAACCACGAATTTACCTTGAAGGTCTTCTCGGTACACAGAAGCTAGCTGCACAATGTTTGTGTGAATAGTGGATTCCAACAGGAACTGTCTGAGTGTCTATGCCAGTCCCTGTCAAACAGCTGGCTTCTTGCTTTGTATGGATTGATACAGGTTAAGGGTTTGGGTTAAATATAATGAGCTGAGCATGCTGGCTCTGCATTGCTGCCTGCCAGCCCAAGGAGCAAGAGCCTAGGGGGAAAGTTCTCTCAGAACACACAGTGAATCTTGACTCTAGCATTCTGCCCCTTCGATGTGTGTGGATCTCCCATTGACGTCAGTAGAAGATCAGCACCTGCACGGAACAGGTTTTTGGAGCAGAGACCCACTGCTTAGATACTAGAGCAGAACATTGTCCTATGTCTTAAATTTAAACTGAGATTTCCCATGTGACAGGATGTGGTTCTACTTACAGACCCTTGGTGACCTTTCTTTGTGCTTGCATTGGATGCATTTTGCTAGCGTTGGTGATCAGATTCTGGTTCAGACAGATTCTGCTAACATCTACGTTTTTCTTTGGGTGGTTGCCATTTAGAAGGAAGTTACCTGCTGCAGGAGAATGGACCCTTTACCTGCATTGGCTTTATGAGGCTGGGAAGGATAAGAGGTGTATTGCTGAATTAGGAAGTGTCCTACTCATGAAACTGGACTGTCACACCTCTCCCTTTGGTGTTTGAGTTCCCAATAATGAAAATCTCATGTTATCCATGCTTCTGCCTGCAGACCCCAGCACCATTGAAACCAACGATGAAATTGAGATTGCCTACCCCATCACCTGTGGGGAGAGCAAAGCCATCCTTCTCTGGAAGAAGTTTGTCTGTCCAGGAATTAACGTCAAGTGCGTCAAGGTAACTTGTTTGCCATAGAGTAGCCCGATTTCCTTGGCCAGATCCCCTCTCTGAAGCTGGGACTGTGGCAGGTCGTTTTCTTTCTTCCAGTGTATTTTCTTTCTCTCTCTCTCTCTCTCAATTTCATCTGTCTCTCTACACTGGAGTTTGTTAAATTTGTGTTGGCAGCATGCAGGGCCCCAAACATGGGAGTTGGTTTTGTCTCTGTAAGAGGCAAGGCTACGAGCAGATTCTCAGGGAGAATCTCAGGGTGGAGGGTTCTCAGCCCCCTTGTCTTTCTGGGTTGCTATTGATCCCTGTTTAAAGTCCTGCTTTTTCTTTCTTTTCTTCCATCACACTCCCTTGGAGCCACGTTGTGATGGTTTCTAGGGGTGCCCAGGACTGTGTGTGTGAGAGAGACTTGCTGGTGCTTAACTGGGCGTCCGCTCCCTGATACCAGGAGTCTGTTAGCCGCCCAAACAATCTCCTCAGGCCTCTGCCAGCCCTCACTTTGCCTTGCAGGTTAACAATAGGTGTATCTGAGCCGCTCTGAAACCATGCCCTGTAGTATCCAGCCCTTGTCTATGGATACTCACAGAAAATACCAGGTAAGCTGTCCCCAAAGGAAGAGGGCTCACACCAGTTTGATTCAGCTGCGGGTCAGCTCCAATATAACATCACAGCACTGAGATATATTTATAGAGAAAATAGTCAATGTGTTTTCAAAGGCTGAGATTTAAGAGACAGTGAGTAAGGATAATGGAAACAGAAATAATTACATATAAAACAAAATAATAAAACACAGTCTGGGTCTATGCTTGTTAATGTAGACCTTTCCTATATAATCAAGTAGATTAACCCCCAAAGGGTCAGTCTTTTGCAGAGTTAGCTATCCTAAGACAAACCAGGATCCAAATATTCAAGAAGCCCTCTCTGCCAGGGGTTTTCCTTAGTGACTGGATAACAAAAAGTCTTTTTGCCTCTCCTTATATTTCCCAAAATTCATTGTTTTTGCCCCAGAATCAGGTTCCTTTCCTCGTGTGCTGGCTCCAAGTTGCCTTCACATCCTTATATTGACTCCATATGCAAAACATGCTTCCACTGTCTTGTCTTATGACGCTTAATCTACATATGGACCTAGACAGACAGGCGAATATACACCCTTTTGTCTGGCAAAACCTGTTTGCCAACACTGCCTGGGACAAAGGCTCTAAAACATATTTTAGGTACATATACACAACTTCTATATATGATCAGTACATATATCTCACAGTGCTGATGAGGATCAGTATGTCATAAGCTTTTATTAGAGACCTCACATGACCCTTTTGGGATAAATACTCTGAAATTGTGTGTGTTAGGTATAGTAAGGTGGTCAGGTCTGATAGGCGTTGCTGTTACAGAATAGTGGACCCTTTGCCACCTTGCATTGAAGGGTTCTTAGGGTCATTGGGGAATATTCCTGAAGTAGTGCAGGCCCCCCTCAAGCATTCCATTCGTGACATGCTGGCTGGGGAAAGGGAATCCTGCTGTCGGATCCCCCAGCTGGCAGTGTGATAAGCTGTTGAGGTTAATGCCAGTGTGTGCTTCTGTATGTTCAGACAAGTCATGCAGGCCAGAAACACTGAGTGCAGAGCTCTGGGGTTCCTGCAGCTGATGTGCACTTTGTGGCTTCAGTGTTTTACAGCTTGGCTTTTAGGAGGGCATATCTCAGTTATTGGTGGGAGGTAAAGTTGAGGGTATTTCCCAAGCAAAATGCTCATGCCACACGGATGGTGTAGTGTCATTTGACACACGGAGCTAATTCAGCCTAGTATAAATAAGATGTGTACATCACTTTAAACTTTAAAGTATTTAATTAAGGGAGTTAAAGGATTAGAAGTATGATTTAAGCGTGGCTAAAAGGGTAATTTTTAAAAAAGTTCCTTTTAAAGCACTTGTCACTTTATAACTAGGAGGATGATGGAATTAATGGAAGCAGATGAGAAGATGGGTTAAAAGCCAAACAAACGATTAAATCAGGTTTTATTTACACTGACCATTTTAGTGTTTCAATTTGCATGTTGAATAGATACCTTAATTTTAAAGAGAGGCCAGTCCCCTGATTCCAAACTCTGAATCTAGATCCAAGTTGGTTTGGATCTTTATTATAGGTAGATCCAAATCTAAATGTTCTTGAACTTGGGGTGTAAACTTTTCCAAAGTTCCAGGTGTTTAGGTTTGTTGTTCTGATACAGGCCATTACAGAGAGAGACTTCTGCTACAAACTCAGGATCTAAACCTATGTCTGCATCTGAAGTTTGTTTATAGAGCTTTGGTTGTGGCTCATCTCTCAAATATATTGTTAGTTATTAACCCAACACTGCGTCATTGAATTAAATAATATTACTTTCATTGACTTCAGTGGGAGTAAGGACAGGCCGTATTACAATACAGCATATGCCAAACCAAATGCTTTGTTGCATGCAACCCAGAAAAGTCAATGAGTTAGCCCCAGGTGTATGTCAGTGCACAATATGACTGACATCTGAGTTCTCTGATTTTGGTATGAAGGGTTATGTTGTTCAATCTAGCAGAGAAAGGTTTAACATGATCCAATGGCTGGAAGTTGAAGCTAGACAAATTCATAGTGGAAATAAGGTGTAAATGTTCAACAGGGAGGGTAATAAGCCATTGGAACAATTTACCAAAGGTTATGGTGGATTCTTCATCACTGTCAATTTTTTAAAATCAAGATTGGATGTTTTTCTAAAAGCTCTGCTCTAGGAATTATTTTGGGGAAGTTGTATGGCCTGCATTAGACAGGAATTCAGACTAGATGATCACATTCATCCATTCTGGCCATGGAATCTGTGAACCTGTGAGTAAATGGGAGCAACTACCACTGACTTCAAAGGTAATTGCACCTGTTTATGGTAGGAATTTTGTTCATGGACTGTAAAGCTACCTTTAAGGCAGCACTGAAAAGTGCTAGGGAAAGTGCTTTCGGCTTGATCTGCTTGGACCACCTGCTGAAAAGTCATAGAACATCCCTGTAAATGTGCTGGATTGTGTTTTACATATTTGTATCAAATCACATGCATCAGGATGTAAAATGATCTCCTGGAAGGGGTTCAGGAAGGAACTGCTCTCAATAACCACCCACTGTTACCTTGCCGGTTAAGTATGTTTTTGGGAGGTTGCGGTCTCCTTCAACTGAAGCTACTGCTAGAACATAAGAACAGCCACACTGGGTCAGACCAAAGGTCCATCCAGCCCAGTATCCTGTCTACTGACAGTGGCCAATGCTAGGTGCCCCAGAGGGAGAGAACTTAACAGGTAATGATCTAGTGATCTCTCTTCTGCCATCCATCTCCACCCTCTGACAAACAGAGGCTAGGGACACCATTCCTTACCCATCCTGGCTAATAGCCATTAATGGAGTTAACCTCCATGAATTTATCCAGTTCTCTTTTAAACCCTGTTATAGTCCTAGCCTTCACAACCTCCTCAGGCAAGGAGTTCTGCAGGTTGATTGTGTGCTGAGTGAAGAAGAACTTCCTTTTATTTGTTTTAAACCTGCCACCCATTAATATCATTTGGTGGCCCCTAGTTCTTATATTATGGGAACAAATAAATAACTTTTCCTTATTCACTTTCTCCACACCACTCATGATTTTATAGATCTCTATCATATCCCCCCTTAGTCTCCTCTTTTCCAAGCTGAAAAGTCCTAGCCTCTTTAATTACTCATCATATGGGACCCGTTCCAAACCCCGAATCATTTTAGTTGCCCTTTTCTGAACCTTTTCTAATGCCAGTATATCTTTTTTGAGATGAGGGGACCACATCTGTATGCAGTATTCAAGATGTGGGCATACCATGGATTTATACAACAGCAATAAGATATTCTCCCTCTTATTCTCTATCCCTTTTTTAATTATTCCTAACATCCCGTTTGCTTTTTTGACTGCTGCTGCACACTGTGTGGATGTCTTCAGAGAACTATCCATGATGACTCCAAGATCTGTCTCCTGATTAGTTGTAGCTAAATTAGCCCCTGTCATATTGTGTGTATAATTGGGGTTATTTTTTCCAATGTGCATTACTTTCCATTTATCCACATTAAATTTAATTTGCCATTTTTTGCCCAATCACTTAGTTTTGTGAGATCTTCTTGAAGTTCTTCACAGTCTGCTCTGGTCTTAACTATCTTGAGCAGTTTAATATCGTCTGCAAACTTTGCCACCTCACTGTTTACCCCTTTCTCGAGATCATATATGAATAAGTTGAATAGGATTGGTCCTAGGACTGACCCTTGGGGAACACCACTAGTTACCCCTCTCCATTCTGAAAATTTACCATTTATTCCTACCCTTTGTTCCCTGTCTTTTAACCAGTTCTCAATCCATGAAAGGGTCTTCCCTCTTATCCGATGACAACTTAATTTATGTAAGAGCCTTTGGTGAGGGACCTTGTCAAAGGCTTTCTGGAAATCAAAGTATGCTATGTCCACTGGATCCCCCTTGTCCACATGTTTGTTTGACCCCCTCAAAGAACTCTTAATAGATTAGTAAGACATGATCTCCCTTTACAGAAACCATGTTGACTTTTGAGCAACAATTCATGCTCTTCTATGTGTCTGACAATTTTATTCTTCACTATTGTTTCAACTAATTTGCCCGGTACTGACGTTCGACTTACCAGTCTGTAATTGCCAGGATCACCTCTAGAGCCCTTCTTAAATATTGGTGTTACATTAGCTGTCTTCCAGTCATTGGGTACAGTAACTGATTTAAAGGACAGGTTACAAACCATAGTTAATAGTTCTGCAATTTCACATTTGAGTTCTTTCAGAGCTCTTGGGTGAATGCCATCTGGTCCCGGTGACTTGTTACTGTTAAGTTTCTCAATTAATTCCAAAACCTCCTCTAGTGATACTTCAATCTGTGACAATTCCTCAGATTTGTCACCTACAAAAGATGGCTCAGGTTTGGGAATCTCCCTAACGTCCTCAGCCATGAAGACTGAAGTAAAGAATTCATTTAGTTTCTCTGTGATGACTTTATCGTCTTTAAGTGCTCCTCTTGTATCTCGATCGTCAAGGGCCCCACTGGTTGTTTAGCAGGCTTCCTGCTTCTGATGTGCTTAAAAAACATTTTGTTTATTACTTTTTGAATTTTTGGCAAGCTGTTCTTCAAACTCCTTTTTGGCTTTTCTTATTACATTTTTACATTTAATTTGGCAATGTTTATGCTCCTTTCTATTTACCTCACTAGGATTTGACTTCCACTTTTAAAAGATGCTAGAGACAAGATATTGGGCTAGAAGAATAACAGCCGTGTTAGTCTGTATTCGCAAAAAGAAAAGGAGTACTTGTGGCACCTTAGAGACTAACCAATTTATTTGAGCATAAGCTTTCGTGAGCTACAGCTCATGTGTAGCTCAACTGTAGCTCACGAAAGCTTATGCTCAAATAAATTGGTTAGTCTCTAAGGTGCCACAAGTACTCCTTTTCTTTTTGGGCTAGAAGAACTGACTAATGGTTTCTGGTTGTGGAGTGTCCTAATGTAAAGTAATGTTCCCTCCTGGTTTTGTTGATCTGTCTTTCTGCCTGGCTGAATTCTTTGTTGTTGTTTTTTTTAGTTTAATGACCAGTTGATCAGCCCTAAGCACTTTGTTCACTTGGCTGGCAAGTCTACCCTGAAGGACTGGAAGAGAGCCATTCGCCTTGGAGGAATCATGTTGAGGTAGGACTGTCCACCATTGTAGCCAGCTTCAGTACTTCCCCAGTGCAGCAACAGAATCTTTTGCAGACATTTCATCTGCCTCTGTGTCTTCAATACATGCCAGTTAAATCTCTTACCGAGAAAAAGTGGATGGAACAGCAGATCACTTTTAATATGGATGGCCAGCAGCCTGCAGGACCTTTATGGTGAAATCCTAGCCCCACTGAAGTCAATTGGAGTTTTGTCATTACTTCACTGGCATCAGGATTTCACTTTACATCCCAGAACTAATGTGGTGAACATATACAGTTAGGGTTGCATGGTATTTAATGGGGCATAAGGGTACTGTCACAGGGCCAGAACTATGTATACAAAGTTGGGGAATGGAGACATGAGGGCCACTGTTTTTCAATTAAGATCTTCTGGGGGACTCATGGAAGGGAGATGGGTTTCTTGTTCTTCTTCCTCCCCATGCAGTCATAGTTGTCCCTCTGACCTGTTGGTTTCTTCAGGCTGAGATCCAAGCTGAGTTCATTGCATAGTTCTCTCCCCATTCTGTGCACAGGAAGATGATGGACTCTGGGCAAATCGACTTCTACCAGCATGACAAGGTTTGCACCAACACCTGTCGAAGCACCAAATTTGATCTCCTGATCAGCAGTGCCAGAGCACCGGTGCCGGGGCAACAAACAAGTGTGGTGCAGACTCCCACATCAGCTGATGGTAGGGGACAGAAAGACAGCTAGAAATGCCATGTGTTACCCTGTAGCACTTCCCTCCTCCCTCCTGCTCACTGAGACTGTCCAGTTATCTCTGTTTGCTTTCTGTGTGCAATGTCCTAATGCAGTGCACCACCACCTCTCTCCTAGTGCAGTCCCACATCTCAGATTACTTTTTACTTGCACCCAAGTTGCTTCAAAAGATTCCTGGGAGGGGTGAAGCTTCCTGTTGAGTCTGCTGGGAGTGGGGATCAGTGGGATCTAGCAACGAACTGTACACTGTAAGGTTCAGGGTCGGGAGCAGCCGGCAATGCACTGGTGGTGGATGTAGACAGCTGTGGGACCCAGCGGAAAACTGCTGGTAACCGACCTCTTGGCAATCTCTGTTCTAAAGTGCTTGGGTGTGGAACACAAAACAGCACATGAAAAAACAGCTGAAAGAGACCCGCTTGCAGTGGTTTTCCTGATGCATGTCCTATTTGCAGGCCTATTAGAGGGTCATGTGAAAAGGAGTATACTGGATTTCTGGTGGCTCAGACATGTATTGGATGGGCCTTTTTACTCTGAAAAATAAACAAATGGAACATTTAAAACCCCAGCCAGCTGGGATCTGGCTCCCACTTCTACCTCTGGCAGCATATGTCCACCTGTAGTCTTACTGGTTTGTCCTGTTTTCCACTTGCTGTAGTTGGTAACCCTACACCTTGACTTTTGGTATCATTTACCGACATGATGCATGGCTTCTGCATTGGTGCTGCCATTTCAGGCTGGTACTCAGAATAAAAATGAAAAACAAGAGTCCTTCCAAGTTTAATGTTATTTAAAAAGTCAATGAATCAATTACTCTGGGTGAAGACTTTGAATGACGAATAGCATTTTAACTAAGAATGCTGAAATAAGGCTGATCAAATCTCATACTTCGGGGTATAAGCCAATCTTTTGCAGAGGTGAGGAAGGAGATTTCCTCCCCATTGTACATTATCATACCATTGGTTATGTTACTTTCCTCTAAGTCTGAAGTGACAGCCAGTGTATGAGGTATGATGCCAGTCGTGATAGACCAGTGCTCTGATCAGATATGGAGAGTCCTATGTTCCCAATGTGACAAGGCAGGGAAATGACTGACCAATTTGCTCCTTAAGTTCCCTCCTTTATTCTGATCCCTTCTGCTACTTTTACACCAGGATGGGTCTCTGGTTAACTCTATGGACAGGGAGCAGCTTTCCATCCACAAACCCTAGTGCATTTCATAGATATGGTTCCACTGACAACAAACAAGATCGGCTTTTAGCTAGTTTGGTTTATAGATACAAATAGCCTGACAGAGAGTGAAAAACACTGGGGGAGTGGAAAGTAAAGCTGCTGATTGGAGCATGAAATTCCTGGTGCTGCTGAGAGAGCTGAAGCTTCCTCTTCTGGATCCTTTTGCAGGGAGCATCACCCAAATTGCATTGTCCGAGGAGAGCATGGAGGAGGGGATTGAATGGAACTCTGCTCTGACGGCTGCTGTCACCATGGCCACTGAGGAGGGCATCAAGAAGGACACAGAGGAGATTTCGGGTAAGTTCATACTGTCTGTTGGCTCTTCACCACTCGTCCAAATTTTCGGAGTGAATTTAAGGCTGATGAAAGGTTCTAGATTTACAGCCTGGGAGACTAACGTCCTCAGAACAGGTCTGACCTAGGCAGCAGTAGTGCAAGTTTCCCCTCTCCCCTGCAAACACACACGGTGCCCACTATTGTGAGTAAGGGGTGAGTTCAGTCTCTAAAGCCCATTCAGTCCTTGGCCTCTCTGCTGAGATGACCAAGCAGGTCAGTTAGTGCCTGTTATGACATGGTAACTCTTTATGAAATAGACACTGGCCTATCAGGAACTGGGCAGAGACCACCCACACATTTTCCAAAGGCCAGTGAACAACTTCAGAGCAAAAAGAAAAGGAGGACTTGTGGCACCTTAGAGACTAACCAATGTATTCGAGCATAAGCTTTCGTGAGCTACAGCTCACTTCATCGGATTCATCGGCTCACGAAAGCTTATGCTCAGATAAATTTGTTAGTCTCTAAGGTGCCACAAGTACTCCTTTTCTTTTTGTGAATACAGACTAACACGGCTGCTACTCTGAAACTTCAGAGTAGTGCCACGTTCAGTCCCTATTCGGCTATGGCTGGATTCAAACTACTGACCTAGAGGCAAAGCCCTCCATAGCATATTACCAGTTCTCTGAGCCATCCACTTTCTCCCTGCGCTATTGTTACAGGTGCTTCACTGGCCCTCCTGATACCTGTCCAGAAGCTTAGGCAGAGTTCCCCAAGCCAGCAGGTGAAGACCATAGACACTGTATCTTGTGCAGACAGGCAGAGGTAGTGAAGTACTGTTCTAAAAGTCGTAAGCTGTATGAAAGTCCTCACTAGTGATGTTTACTTCCCAGATCCATTTTTTTTGTTTGTTTTTTGTTTTTTGCATGTCATGTCCACCCTGATGGCCAGATTAGAAGCCGGCTTCCAAAGTTACTGCTGCATGACAGCGCGCTGCTCTTGGAACGGTTTTAATGTAGCCTTGCGGGAAAATGCCAAATGCTTGTACGTGTCGAATTCTTCTCCCTCCTGTCTCTTCCTGTGCCAGAGGACACGCTGATGTTCTGGAAAGGAATAGCCGACGTGGGGCTGATGGAAGAGGTCGTCTGCAACATCCAGAAAGAAATAGAAGAGGTGCTGAAAGGTGTCCAGCAGAGGCTCGGCCAATCTCCCTTCCAGATCACAGGTGGGTGGGAGGCCTCTGTGTTGATATTAAAGGATTACTGAAAAAGTGGTTATGGCCAGAGACGGGAAGGGAAAACTGGCCCTTTCCTACTCACAAAATCCTCTCCTGGAGTCAAATTCTCTTTTTAGTTACACCCATGATTTTTTATTTATTGTTTTTAATTCACCTTTGGACAGATAGATGACAGTTTCAGAAAGTTGTATGTAATGGAAAAACTTGTGCAACCTTCGCTATTGCTGGAGAGCTAATGACACTGCCAGCATTATGGGCAGAAAAACTGTAGGGGGTGGTCTAACATATACAGATGATACTTTAATGTGAAGCGATTCAGAGCTGCTTGAGTGACAGGTCTTTCTTTTGATATGAACAAAGTTGTGCCATCATTGGATGTCCACGGGGTTGGGAATGCCCTCTTCAGCCAGCACTCCTGGAATTGCACTCTGGAAACATGAAGAACTTTTAATAGAAAGCACTAGAGGATTTTAGGCATAATAAATAAATCTCATCTGTCTGGCTCCTTGACTGGAAGTTTAGGCTGTCTAAGGAATTGTAGGCACTCACCCATGTGGGGTTTTCTTGCAGATGCTGCAGTCCTGAATAATGTGGCCCACACTTTTGGCCTGATGGACACAGTCAAGAAAGTTTTGGACAACAGGAAAAGCCAAACAGAGCAGGGAGAAGAGCAGTTTCTTTATACTTTAGCAGGTATGGTCAATGCCTGGGAAATATTTGTTAATGAAACCTGGTGTCCCATCACAACTCTCTAGAGCTGATGTGACTCATGCACTTTCCTATTTGACTTTGAGTGCAAAGCAATATGTTGCTCCCTTTATTTAAAACCTAAATTTGCCTTTTTTTCCATACACCAACATGCAACTAGTGTGTTATCCTGTGTCACTGCAAATTATTGACATATTACATCATGAAACACATGCACTTGAATCTCCATCCATTCTAGGGATCAAGTAGGAATCCCCCAAAGTCCCTTGTGTACCAGTGAGCCATTGGCCAGGGGTGTTAGGGAGTGTGTAGTATAAGGTATGCCCACTGCTGAGGGAAGGATACTGGCCTTGCTGGACTTCTGGTCTGCTCCACAATGGCTGATGCTGCTTCTTATTTTCAGTTATATCCCCCAAAGATCCTTATCTGAGCTATGTTTGTGCTGGAGACCCATCTTCAGGAGTGGCCTTGGGACTCCCAGTCCCTGCGACAGCTCGTGAATGCCATCCATCCTGAGATGGCACCCAACCAAGCTCAGGAGATAGCTCTCACTGCCACGCTTTCTCCTAGCTGGAACAGGCATGTGCAGCAATGGCATCCATCTTCTCGGCAGTGAAAACAAGGCTGTGAGCAGATAAGTAGAGGTAGAAAACCACTCCAGAATTAGGAGACAAGGGGAATCCCAAGGACCTTGGTCCTTAATTCTCCATTGCATTGCACCTTGTGCAGCCATTTACACAAATGCAACGTGGGTGTAAAACGTGTAAAAAGCTACCTGATCAGAAAGGCAGTGTTCTGCCTCCACTCTGCACGGGTGTGAATGGTTGCTGAAGCTGCAGGGCCATTGTCAGTCTGGCCCCTGGTCTTGAACAAAGTTTTGTCTGAAGCGGATTGAGGAGAAACACCTTATTGGACATCTGAGATGCCCCGCTGCAAAATAAATAATATGTGGGACCAGATGTTGCTGATTTTATGGAGCTCCTTTAAATATCTCCCTCTGTTTTCAGTGACTCAAGCTTTATCTGAATATGCTGTATTGTCATTCTTCTTGCAGACCTGGAACGCCAGCTGGAGGAGCAGAAGAAGCTCGCCAGGGATCAGAAGATGAAGTCTCAGACGATCCAGAACGTGGTGCTGATGCCAGTCAGTGCTCCGAAACCCCCTAAGAGACCTCGTCTGCAGCGCCCGGCCTCAGCCACAGTCTTGAGTCCCTCCACCCCTGTCCAGCAGCCTCAGTTCACAGTCATCTCACCCATTGCCATCGCACCTATGGGACAGCAATTCTCAGTGGGCAACATTCCGGTGGCAACCATCAGCCAGGGATCCAGCCCAGTGACTCTCCACACCTTGCCATCCTCACAGCTCTTCCGATATGCCACCGTGGTGTCTTCCTCCAAGTCCAGTTCATCTGACACTGTGACCCTTCATCCGTCCTCCAGCTTGGCCCTGCTGAGCTCAGCCGCTATGCAGGACAGCAGTGGCCTGGCTAATGTGGCCGCAGTGGTGAACCCTGTGGAACTGGTGGCCATGGAGTCTGGCCTGACGTCTACCATCCAAGCTGTTGAGGGCACCTCAGAAGACGGACAGACCATCATAGAGATAGACCCAGCACCAGATCCTGAAGCAGAGGCTGAGGAATCGGAGGGCAAAGCTGTGATTCTGGAAACTGAGCTGAGGACAGAGGAGAAAATGGTGGCAGATGTTGAGGACCATCAGCATCAGGTGCACAATGTAGAGATCGTTGTCTTGGAGGATTAGCAAGGAAGGCAAATCTCATTGGTGGGATGGGTTGTTGGGTTTTGTTTTTTTTTCTTGGTTAAACTTTTTCATTTTGACAGTCATCCTGTTCGTTGCCATGGATCTTTTTCATTTTTACAGTCCAAAAATGGAAGAAGATGGAGAAACACGGAGAGGCCCAAGAAAAGGCTCCATCTCATGGAGTGATGGACAAAATCAACCGTTTCTGCAGGGAGGAAGGAGAAGTGATTCTGCAGACCAGAAGGGGAGAGCCCCTCTCCTTCCTGAGAGTGCTCAGTGATACAGCCCATATTCTCGTTTTTGCCCAGGCCTGATCATTGCTAGGACTGTTTTAGTTGAGAGAGACTCTCTGGCCAGTAACTGGAGCATTGATCTTACTGCTGGAAGGGGTTGATGGTTGCTTTGGGGGAAACAGGTACCTCATTTTTATTTTTTCCCAGGGAAGGGAATTCTGTCCAACTCCTCATTATCAACTATGCTGGTATTTTGCTTTTGGCAAGGAAGCAGCAACCCTGACTGAGTGTTCATTGTCCCCTTTCCCACACCCTGTGGTTTTTTTGTTTCTTCTGTTTTTTTGCTTTGCTCTCCCTTTCCCTTTCCAGATCTGCTGGCTGCTAAAGTGCTTAAGCTGCTTTTGGGTTCTGTCACCCAAATCCTGCTTCTTCCCTTCCTGGCCTTCTCCCTCCCAGGCCTTGTAAGTTTCTTTGCCGCAGGACACTGTTACAAGACACTGATCACTTAAGCCTGGTGCATAAAGGAGAAGAATCAACCCATTGGTAAAAACACAGCCCTCCCTTTAGCATAGCGCTGACCTCCTGGATGTATAAAGCGTGTGTTGTGCTGTTGCTTCCTGGGAGAGCTGGACTCCATGGGGCAGGAGCCCCATCTGTTTATGCCGCACGCTGGAAACTGTACTTGCTAGTTGCTACATGTTGGTGTGTGAGTTTTTTTTTCCCTTAATCTATTTGCAGGATTAGAACTGGCATATTATTTTAGCATTGTGACTGCCTCAGCATCCCCCTTCCCCCCACCACTTCGGGGGGGCTCTTTTTGTTTCTTTGTGGAGAGAGGAAGGGAAGGAGGGAATCTATTTTTAATTCAGCTGTTGAATTGTGGGGAATTGGGAGGGCTGGGGGAAATCTGCTTGGTTGAAATATATTAAGCAAAACAGTAACAACAGAAATAGACCCGGAGGGGGAGGGAAAGGAGGAGGTGTGTGGTTATTTTATTTTATTTTTTAATTTTTTTTTTTTTTTTGCATTAAAAGGAAAAATCTAAATGCATCTAGATTATTAATGGAAAGGACTACAATGAATTTGTTGTTTGTATTTTAATAGCACCTCAATCCAGATTGGGGCCCTGTTTTGCAAGGCACTGCACCAGCACATAGGAAATAGTCCATGACGTGTAGCACTTACACTGTAAACAAAGGATGAGAGAAAGGAAATATTATTTATTAGAGACAGACATTAAAGGCCTGATTTTTCCACCCGACTGTAGCTTGTCACTGGGTAAAGGGGGCGTATCATGCTAGGTTGGTAGCATTTTACAACCACCCTGTATGGCTATAAATAACATAAGGTGCAAGGCAGGAGAATTGGGCCCTTTGACTTGCCCCTGTTTGCACAGGTGGTCTTAGGCAGAGCTGGTAATTGAACCCAGATCTCTTGAGTCCCAGACCACAGCTTGAACCACCAGATCATCTTGTCACAGTTTCAGGGTTAACCCTGCACCTCCCCCCCAGGTCTTCCTCGAGGGCACCCTCTTACAGGTTTCTGGCTTCCCAGCTATTACCTCTCTCAGACAGAGTCCCAGTCTCTCTTCCTCCATATCTGGGGGTTTAGGCTTGCAGTCTGTCTGCACTTCACTGTGTTTTCCCCAGCAGGGCTGACCAGGGGCCAGCACCTGTGATTAAGCAGGGGGTTGGACTAGATGACCTCCTGAGGTCCCTTCCAACCCTGATATTCTATGTTCTATGAATCTTTCCCCCGGGGCTACAACAGTGTATACCAGTTAATAGCCAGCCGTCACAAAGCAAAATACATTTATTCTGAGGGAGAAAGCATTGCGGAGAAAACACACAAAAAAACCCAAAAGTTTCTAACCACATGCTACAATCTCACTAGAGGTCACCGATCCATTTTATTGGGCCCTACCAAGCCAAAGTCCTTCCAATCCTCCTGCAAGATGTGCTCCCCCCCCGCCCCCAGACAAAAGCTCCTGTCCATTTTCTGAATCAAAAAGAAGGTCCTGTTGTGCCAGTTTAAACTCAACCTTTTTATACCAAAAGCTCTTCCTTTGTTGGCTGCTGGAAAACCCACTTTTAACCAGTCCACACCAACTACCCCAGAGCATGGTTGCTCTCTGCAATTTTTTACAGTTGCAGCTACTAGCCTTAATCAGCCTCCCACCCCCACTGTTTTTAGTTCCTGGAGGAACTATGGGACCCCCTCACTCCCATCCATACAATTCCTGGCCCACAGTGGTACATCAAAGGCCCACAGGTAAGTATATAACAGACAACCCAAAGAGAGGGCTAGATGTTGCGGGTAACCTGGAAAATTACAATAGGATCCTAGGAGCAATAAGAGGGAAATCAGGGGTGGAATCTGCTCAATATCTTGCAAAAATGCAAGAAGTATGGGGAATAAACAGGAAGAACTGGAAGTTTTAGTACATATGCTAAATTGTGACTTAATTGGCACTACAGAACTTGGTGGGATAAGTCTCATGACTGGAAGATTGGTATAGAGCGATAGAGCTTGTTCAGGAAGCACAGGCAATGAAAAAGGAAGAATATATGCATTTGTTCTGATGTGGGAAGCAGACCAATTTAAAGTCTCTAGGTAAAGATAAAAAGAGATGAGAAAATATAGGGATGATGACCTGGTAGGGGTCTACTACAGACTATCAAATCAGGAAGACAGGGAAGTGGATGAGGAATTTCTAGAACAAATAACAGAAATATCCAAAACACAAGACCTGGTGGTAATGGGGGACTTTAACTACCCAGACATCCGTTGGAAAAAAATAATACCACAACACACACAATTTCCAATAAGTTATTGGAATGTATTCGGGACAACTTTTTGTTTCCGAAAATGGAGGAAGTCACCAGGGAGACAGCCATTTTAAACTCAATTCTGACCAAAAAGGAAGGAATTGGTAGTGAATCTGAAGGTGGAAGGTAATTTGGGTGAAAGTGATCATGAAATGACAGATTTCATGATTCTAAGGAAAGGAAGGAGTGAGAGCTACGGAATAAGGGCCAGAAACTTAAAAAAAAAACCCAGATGTTAACAAACTAAGAGAACTGGTATGTAAGGTCCCAGAGGAAGAAAATCTAAGAGAAAAAGGAGTTCAGGAGAGTTGGCAGTTTCTCAAGGAGACAATATTAAAGGTACAACTGCAAATTACTCTGATGTGAAGAAAATATAGGAAGAATAGTAAGAGGCCTGAAAATCAAAAAAGAATCCTCGAACAAGGGGAAACACGGATGAATTGCTAAGGAGGTGTACAAAAGAACAGTACAAGCATGTAGGGACAAAATCAGAAAGGCTACGGCATAAAGTGAGTTAACTTGGAAGGGACATAAAAAGAGGTTCTTTAAATACATTACGAACAAGAGAAAGACAAGGTCCCATACTTAGTGAGGAAGGAGAGCTAATAACTTATGACATCAAGAAGGCTGGACATCAAGAAGGCTGAGGCATTTAATGTCTATTTTGCTTCAGTCTTGTCTGAAAAGGTTAATGGTGACCAGATACTCAACACAATATTAACAACAAGAGTGAAGGAATGCAAGCCAACATAGGGAAAGAACAGGTTAAAAATATTTAGAAAAGTTAAATGTATTCAAGTAAGCAGGTCCTGATGAAATTAATTCTAGGGTGCTTCAGCTAGTTCCTGAAGTACATCTTGGAACCATTAGCAATTATCTTTGAGAACTCATGGAGGACAGATGAGGTCCCAGAGGACTGGAGAAGGGCAAACATAGAACCTATCATTAAAAAAGGGAAACTAAGAGGACCTGGGGAATTGTAGACCAGTCAGCCTAAGTTCAATACCTGGACAGATACTGGAACAAACTATTAATCAATTTGTAAGAACCTAGGGGATAATAGAGTTATAAGGAATAGCCAGCATGGATTTGTCAAGAATAAATCATTCCAAACCAACCTAATTTCCCTCTTTGACAGGGTTACTGGCCTTTTGGATAGAGGAGAAACAGTAGATGTGACATATCATGATTTCCCATTCTCATAAGCAAACTACGAAAATGTGGTCTAGAAGAAATTACTATAGCATGGGTGCAAAAGTGGTTGAAAGATGATAAAGTTATCAACAGTTTTCTGTCAAACTGGGAGGGCGTATCTAGTGTGGGACCTGCAGGGGTCAGTCCTGGATCTAGTGCTGTTCAATATTTCATTAATGATTTGGGTAATGGAATGGAGAGCATGCTTATAAAATTTGCAGATGACTCCAAGCTGGGAGGGGCTGAAAGCATTTTGGAGGCCATGATTAGAATTCAAAGTGACCTTGGCAAATTGGAGAGTTGGTCTGAATTCAACAGCATGAAATTCAATAAAGACAAGTGCGAAGTACTACACTTAAAAAGGAAAAATTAAATGCACCACTACAAAATGGGGACTAACTGGGTAGGTGATCGTACTGCTGAAAAAGACACGGGGTTATAATGGATCACAAATTGAATGTGAGTCAACAACATGATGCAGCTGCAAGAAAAGGCTAATATTCTGGGGTGTATTAACAGGAGTGTTATATGTAAGGCATGGGAGATAACAGTCTAGCTTTACTCGGCACTGGTGAGGCTTCAGCTGGAGAACTGTGTTCGGTTCTGAGCATCACACTTTAGGAAGGTTGTGGGCAAATTGGACAGAGTCCAGAGGAGAGCAACAGAAAGTGATAAAAGGTTTAGAAATCCTGCCCTATGAGGAAATGTTTTAAAAAAACAACATGTTTAGTCTGGAGAAAAGAAGAATGGTGGGGACCTGATTGTCTTCAGCTATATTAAGGGCTGCTATAAAGAGGACGGTGATCAGTTGTTCACTGTGTTTACTGAAGGCAGGACAAGAAGCAATGGGCTTAATCTGCAGCAAGGGAGGTTTAGGATAGGTATTAGAAAAACTTTCTAACTGTAATGGTAGTTAAGCTCTGGAACAGGCTTCCAGGGGCGTTTGTGGAATCTCCTTCACTGAAGGTTTTTAAGAACATATTGGACAAACACCTGTCAGGGATGGTCTAGAGAGAAGGTGGGTGAGGTAATAGCTTCGATTGGACCAACTTTTGTTGGTGAGAAAAACAAAATTTTGATCTTACACAGAGCTCTCCTTCAGGGATGGCTTTGCTTTATTTGGTCCTGCCTCAGTGCAGAGGCTGGATTGACTTCTGGAGGTCCCTTCCACCCCTACATTTCTATGATTCTATAAACCATTCCTAAATTTAATACAATATAGGCCCCAAATATACTGCATGCTGTTGCACTATCTTGTCACATTTCCTTTCTCTTACATGCTGCTTTTTTCCCCTTCTATAGACCCTTTCATATCCAGGAGTCTTACCTGGATTTCCCCTTCTCCTCTAGGAATGTGCAGGCAGGCCACCATCGGCCTTGAGAAGTGGACTTAGGTCCTTTTCCCAGAATTCTCTGCCTCCATGGGAGAACAGCTGAATGCAGATCGCTGCTCACACCAGGGACCTTTCTGACTTTCAGATCGTTCAAAAAAACCCTTTTTTTAAAAACACATTTATACATTGGATCTTAAACTTGCAGACACTTCCCTTCCCCCCACCCAGGGCTTGGGGATGGAAAAATGGTAACTAAGGTGACATCCAGGCTTTTGGAAGGTGGCCAATGAGGAGAGGCCAGGCTGGGCCATGCTGTGCTCCACTCCTGAAGCCCCACCCGGGAAGACCAGCATCTGCTCTGCTAGGTTAAGGAGCAGGGCCCAGGCAAGCTTTGCTCCCTTCTCAATGAAGTTTGAAGCCTCCTCAAGATCCATTGAAATGGGGGCCACTATGTGTCTAGCTTCCTTTGCCCAGTCAGTTCTTGGGATAGTTCTGGATCAGCATGACAGGCAGACTGCAGGTTTGTTATAAAAGTCTGTGTCTGACCTGCCCTATGCACTTGGGATGCTCACTTAAGAGCTATTCTGAGCCTAGGGTCTCTGGATTTGTTTCTCTACAGGGAATTAACTGCTCTTCCTCAACTCTGCATCACACAAGGGAAAACCACAGAACAATGCTCCCCCGAGACCTTTCTGGCTACTCTCAGTTTCTCTTCTGTAAACCAGGCCTATCAGTTTGCCAGCCTAAAGCCTCGTCTTTACCAGTTCTACCTGCAGTGGAGTATAGGGCCAGCTGCACTACCGCTGCACTCAATGGCAAAAGCTTCCAGTGACTTTAGTGGGAGCTCGAACAAGTGAGTGGTAAGCAGAGTGAGTTGAGGCATGAGAGAGGGATTTGGAAC